CATACCTTCTAACTCCTTCTTAGCGGTTTTTTGAACTTCAATTCAAAGGCCGAGTTTACCCGGCTCCGGAGGAATTTTCGAACGGCTGAAAAATTGGACTGGACGTCTTGTTCATACGGAGCCGAACAATGTTTTTGACTTTTTTTCACTTGGAACTTACGAACTGGCCTTTTTATTTGTAATAGATCAACCGGCAGAGATAACAGTAATTAGTAAAATCCAACTAATGGTCTATTATCAATGCTGCGTTCTGATTGGTTGAGCTACTACTAGGCCATGTGTTATAGCCTACTAGTAGCGAAAAGCGCGGGCTTTTTGGCGGCAAAAAAGGATTAAAGTCTAGCTTTAACTAGCTAAAAATTTTTTTTTCTCAATATTTTTGTCCAACTAGTTGGATTTTACTAAAACAATTATTCCCTTCCCCGTGGCGCGTCTGAGTCAATAGCCCATTCGGCCTTCGGGCTCATGGGCTATTGACTCAAGCCCATTCGGCTCGAGGAATAATTGTTAAATATTGTAATCTGCAATAAAATGTTTATGTAAAATAGCTACGTCTGATCTAATCATGGTGAATAAATTGTTGAATTCTGAAATAAGAGGCGACTGTCAAAAAAATTGAGATTATCGTATCTAACGAATACGCAGAAGTTTGTAGACCGCTATCGTCCACCATAATTGTCTGTTGACGTTCTTTTTTTTATGTCGATAAATTATGAATTTAAAAATGTTTTCAAGCGCTGCGTAGGACATCTAGACCATTAAGCCAAGTTTCTATGATGCAGACTGCGATTGCAGTCTCCTCACGACTCCCCCAAATATGGAGAGCTTGCTCTACGATTGCAGCCTGCGATTGCAGTCTCCTTGCGACACCCCCCAAATATGAAGAGCTTGCTCGCACAAATTCGTATTGTTTCATCAAGTGGCACATTTGGGAAGGAATTCCAAAGAGCGCGGTATCATACCATTGGTAAGTTTGTACTCTTTTAGCCCTGTGTGCAAAACTAAAAGAATCTTTAACGGTGTGTCGGTCGGTCGAAATTGGCTGAAGTAAGCCGACAAGGTTAGAAGCAAGGTTGTAGTTGTAGGATTTGACAACGGGAGACAACAGAACAGAACGGGCGGCCGTCTTTATGAACCTTTAGAGGAGAAGAACTATTGGGTGAAATCTTGTTTTAGCTACAGGTTTCTCACTGGATGACTACTCATCGACCTTGATTTATTATGACACATGGTTTATTCAATTTTTGTTCGACTTTGGAGAATACGCTTTACATCATAAAACATTGATATGAATTCTATTTAAACATTGACGCTTTGTACCTGTCATCATTTTTTGTATCTTATCTGGAAAATAGAAGAAATTTGTGCCAAGATTACTGTCTGCCATAAGGAAAAAAGCCAAGCTGAGTGACATAAAGGAGCCACTATCATCGACATCCTGATTTTAAAGGCTCTATGGATTGATGGTTGGTGACTTGCTCTTACTCTTTTTGTATAAGGTGTGAAAAAGTTTGAACCCAGGAGTCATTTCTTAAGGTGGCTCGACTGGATTTTTTGGGGTTGATACCTCCCAACTTTGAGCATTAACTACGTCGGCATGAGTAAAGATATGGAAAAAAGGTTACCACAACTGTATTATATAAAGATGAAAATTTCTTATGGTCTGGGTTTTATTGCAATCAGAGTCGCCATGGCAACGTAATGACGCCATTACGTTTTTCATTTATCTTTGTGTTTCTCTGTTCCAGGAGTTTTTTGAAGAAATCGCTTAAGGGAGTATGTACCTGCTATAATTGCCTCCATTATGGTATAGTTTGAACAAATTCTATGAGAGCGTTTTCGAAATATTTTGAAATGTAGTTTTAAGAATAATAAAAACAGTGAAATAGCATGCTAGCCACACAATTCGCTAATATTTTAAGAAAATGATAAGCTTTGGGAACGAGGCTTCATCTCATAGTAGTTTGATTCCATTGAAAACTGCATACGAAAAAAGAGGGGAATTGCTCTAGGCGATCGCCAGTAAGAAGAATTTTATTAACTTGCATTCAGCTGCTTTTGATACAGTTTTTGGACGTAATTTGGTCCATGCCTAAAAATTTCGCATTTTTCCAAAAACAGCTCGATAAATTTTTTTATAAATTCGATAATCCCGAGATCAATTGTCACGAAATATTTCCTGCAAGTTTCAAGAACATTGAAAATAGGGAAGGCTTTTAAATAGGGCCTCAAATATAACCAATTTCCCCCCAGATTTTGCGTTTACAAGTGAGCGTCCTCATTATTCACTGGCATTGTTTTCAAGTTTCATATGCACGTGCACAACTAGCAAAGGATATAAATTTGCATAAAAAAGAACTCTCGATTACTTTCCGAAGAAATATCCAGAATACGCTAATAATTGGTTTGTCGTCACAGATAGCAGTGAGAGCCGAAACGGTGAACGTCACGGCTCATCGTGTAGGATGGAATACTTAATTATCTTACTCGGGTTTGTAACATCACAGAAACGCTCACAAAGAGTTGCTCTGATGTTATAATGTATCATTAATCTCTTTACCCGGTAATTAGCATATCCCGGAGATGTAACCGAGGGTCCTTTTTGATGCAAATTCTATCGTTTTGCTAAATGTGCACGTGTATATGAAACTTGAAAACAATGCCAGTGAATAATGAGGACGCTCACTTGTAAACACAAAATTTGGGGGGAAAATTGGCTATATCTGAGGCCCTATTTAAAAGCCTTCCCTGTTTTCAATGTTCTTAAAACTTGCAGGGAATATTTCTTGACGATTGATCTCGGGATTATCGAATTTATAAAAAAATTTATCGAGCGGTTTTTGGAAAAATGCGAAATCTTTAGGCATGGACCAAATTACGTCCAAAAACTGTATCAGAAACAGCTAAATGCAAGTTAATAAAATTCTTCTTACTCGCGATCGCCTAGAGCAATTCCGCTCTTTTTTCGCATGCAGTTTTCTATGGAATCAAACCACTGTGAGATGAAGCCTCGTTCTCAAACCTTATAATTTTCTTAAAATATTAGCGAATTGTGTAGGCAGCATGCTATTTCACTGTTTTTATTATTCTTAAAACTACATTTCAAAATATTTCGAAAACGCTCTCATAGAATTTGTTCAAACTATACCATAATGGAGGCAATTATAGCAGGTACATACTCCCTTAAGCGATTTCTTCAAAAAACTCCTGGAACAGAGAAACACAAAGATAAATGAAAAACGTAATGGCGTCATTACGTTGCCATGGCGACTCTGATTGCAATAAAACCCAGACCATAAGAAATTTTCATCTTTATATAATACAGTTGTGGTAACCTTTTTTCCATATCTTTACTCATGCCGACGTAGTTAATGCTCAAAGTTGGGAGGTATCAACCCCAAAAAATCCAGTCGAGCCACCTTAAGTAGGTTGAAAATAATAATAAGGAGAAAAAGGCCAATTTTTAACAAAACCGAGAACTGACCCGTTTGGAAAAATGCCAATTTTTCGACTTTTTCAACATCTTGTTTTTATAGCCTAAAAAGGCGTTTTTTCGTTCTAGAATATCGTAAAAGACAGTTTCCAGGCCTATATTCCCTAAAAAAAAAAATTGGAAAAACGGCCAATTTTGGACCAAAACCATGGGTTAACCCCTTTGGAAAAATGTCAATTTTTCGACTTTTTGAACTTCTTGTTTTTATAACCTAGAAAGGCGATTTTTCGTTCTAGAATATCGTAAAAGACAGTTTCCTGGCCTATATTCCCTAAAAAAAAAAATTGGAAAAACGACCAATTTTGGACCAAAACCATGGGTTAACCACTTTGGAAAAATGTCAATTTTTCGACTTTTTGAACTTCTTGTTTTTATAGCCTAGAAAGGCGTTTTTTCGTTCTAGAATATCGCAAAAGACATTCTCCTGGCCTATATTGCCTAAAAAAAAAAAGTTGCCAAAATGGCCATTTTTGGACCA